TTACTAACAATCTTTAACACATTTACAATCCCAACTAAACTATTGGCCAGTACCTTGAATGGACTACCTAAAACTATATACACCCGTTTTGGTTAGCCACACTGCCCAAACACCACATATAGCGAACTAGAGGGCGAAATTTACAAAATTGCCCTTCTAGTTTATTTACTCTATCAAAAGTCTAGTGGGTTCCAAATTTACACGCCTTCCCACTTAGCCAAGATAGGTTGAGAGCTAGCGAACCGAATTTACACAGGCGCCGCTTAGTCTCCCGGTCCCTCCGACCTAGCGAACGTAATATACACCCTAGAACGCTAGTCTAGACAAGACACCGGTGTCCGGCTAGGGCTATTTACACAGGACCCCGCCTGACTAACCAGATCAAACGGTCTTACTAAAGAGCGTTCGATCGAGCGGTGCGCCTTCGCTCCTTCCCTCCGACAGAGGGGGCAGATTCCATACACAGATTTAAACCCCTTTTGGGCCTACCGCACAATCGGTATACCCCTAGTGGGTCTGCCGTCTAAAACAGCAGTTGTCTTACCTCCTCGTTCCTGAACCTGAGTTCACACTCATCGACGGGGACACCCCAGCACTTCTTACGTAGAGGCCGATGATCTCCTGGACAACAGACCAGTGGCGCCGAGACGAAGGGAGGTCCACGCAGAAGTTCAGGGGTGCAGCCGTAGAGAACGTGGGCAAAGATAGACCGTCTCACGCCTCTGCCTCTCAGCTACCGTTGAACGATGAGCTTCCCGGCCAATGCACCAAATGATACCGGAGAAACTGACGGAAGCAAAGCACAGAGAGATGGACACAGGTTTCTTCAGGAAGGAAGAGATTCTTTATTGGATCACCGATCGGGACTCAGAGGGACTAATGTCACCAAAAATACAGCAAGTTCTGAGCCCTGAACAATAGTGCAGGCTCCCTATATAGGCACATAACTCCTCCCATATTAAGCTCCACCCGCACATTCTCTTGACCAATCATTACAAATAAGAATTAACTTCCTGCTTGACCGCATGGCTTGTCCAGCACAATGGAGGAGGGGAATACTACATCCTGTATTCTTGCACATGCTCCGTACACTACTGATCGTATCTTGCCTCGTGCAACCAACTGATCGATACGTCAGCATATGCACGTACACATGCCACGTGGTAATCTCGGCCTACTAAATTTATTTTTACCGAGATTCCACCACACTGTCACATACAGTCTCTTTTATTCCCAATCCACAAGCATAGTACAGCCCACAGGGCGTTACAAAACAGCCAATCAATCCATACACTACACCCAGACACTCCCACACAAAATCCTCCCCTCTGGCTGTGATATGATGACTGAACACAATGGGTAATCTAATTATCACAGCCAGAGAAATACAGTTTCATAAAACACATCACAGGGACCCCAAAACATGCAATAACCCCATATCCTTGGAACTGGGGGATCTGGGTGAACCACATATCCAAAATTCACCCAGATCCGTTCAGTACTTTGGAAAATACAGTTTAATGCAGATTCTGCAGAACATATACAGGCTAAATAAAAACAATCACTGTATAATGTGTCCCCTGCTGTATAGTCCAAAACCACCGCACGATGTCTCTGTGCAACAAATACTGGCGAGATGGCACCGTGTTGAAAAGTCCACACAGTGTCTGTGAGTTAAAATGGCCGCCATCCATTGTTCTCACCATGTGCTTCTGATACAGGAAATGGTGGCCACCCAGTAACTCCACAGTATGTCCCCAGATGGTTCTTAAAAGGGCTAGCAGCAGCACAACACAAATCCATTATGTCCAAATCATGTCTTTAAAGGGCAATACATCCCAGGGGCCATAGTCACATGGCAGGAGGCTGGCAATCAGTCTTCTCCAATGCCCAGTGGCGAGGTCGGTTTCGCCACATATACCTCACGGGGGTTCAGCACCACAGTCTCACTAATTTCCCTAACAACACTCCCTTCTTGTCATCATACCCATCAAGAAAGTCTTAAAGGGTATCTCAAAGGTTTCTGTTCCACTTACCACCACCAGATTACCAATAGATGGGCTTATCTTTCGATTACTCAGCAATGTACTCGATGAATCCCCATTCGATCCCAACACAAACCTGGTAATCAAGCCTGCAATTTATCTAGCTTTTTACGGTTTCCTCAGACCCAGAGAATTCTCAGTTGTTTGTTAAGGGGATATCACACACAGCCTCAAAACCTCACACCTCACTAAGGTGGAGGATCACTACGTACTTACGCTCCCATCTACCAAAACTAATCACTTACTACACCCCACTATTATTCCCCTCTTTCCCATTGATAATGCATGGTGTCCGGTTAAGGCACTAGACCACCTACGGTCAACTCATCACACGCACTTACCAGACTCTCCGCTCTTACTACTACAAGGGCACCCACTCACCACTGCTAAATTCACAATGCACATCAGAACCTTACTGGCAAAACTGGGTCACAACCCGGCTTCGTTCTCTGGTCACTCCTTCCGCATAGGAGCCGCTTCATCAGCCTCTAGTACAAACACCTCCGTCCACATCATCAATAGACTGGGTCAATGGAAATCCTCCATATACCATACGTACATACCACGATCAGAAAGAGAGCTTCGCCAAGCCTTCAGGAATTTGGTTATGTACTAAATGCAATAAAGTGTGTTTTTTCCTTGAACTTCTCTTTTGCCCTCTTTTATTTACAGGCCCACTTGTACAGTGGTTTCGGCACACCACAACCAACTTTCATCTCAGACACTATCCATTACGTATTAAATTCCGATCACATATATATATATATATATATATATATATATATATATATATATATAAAATGAAAGAGCACTCCAAAGGATTTTTTTTCACATTGTATAATACGAAATCAATGTTTCGACCCTCCTGGAACATTATCAATTTTGATAAAGACCCAGGAGGGTTGATACGTTGATTTCGTATTATACACTTTGAAAAAAATCCTGTGGAGTGCTCTTTCATTTACTTTATATAAGCACCTGGGTATTATTATACTTTGTTTTGGATGTTATGGTGAGTGCCAGAAACTGGACTTGTTTATATATATGTATATATAAACAACTAGTGAAGGTACTGATACAGTGAGGGAAAAAAGTATTTGATCCCCTGCTGATATTGAACGTTTGCCCACTGACCAAGAAATTATAAGTCTACAATTTTAATGGTAGGTGTATTTCTACAGTGAGAGACAGAAAAACAAAACAAAAAATCCAGAAAAACACATGTCAAAAAAGTTATAAATTGATTTGCATGTCAATGAGTGAAATAAGTATTTGACCCCTTCGACTTAGTACTTGGTGGCAAAACCCTTGTTGGCAATTACAGAGGTCAGATGTTTCTTGCAGTTGCCCAAAAAAAACCCAATAAAACAAGCTATAGATAGCGCTAAATAAATACATTTTTCACCATTATAAAAAACTTTTTGTATTAGCAGCACCTTATTAGTGTATTAGCTCTCCAACACTCAATTCTAAAAAAAAATATAAAGTGCGCTGTGCCTTTAAAGATTGTGCTCACAAAAAAATCTTGTGTATTGCAATCAACCCCAGCATGAAAATTTTATAAATGCAACAAAGTGCATGTTCAGAATTAAATATAGTTCCTCGTGCAAACACAATGTAAGATATATGTGCAAATATTATTGCACCATTCCACATTAACGTGCATAAATATTAAAAGTGCATTATAAGCTTTGTTGTGTACTAGCAAAACCATTAACAGATTTATTTAACCAATCATTTTAAACAGGAGTAGTCACAGAAGATTGGAAGTTAGCGAATGTTGTGCCCATTCACAAGAAAGGTAGTAGGGAGGAGTCGGGCAACTGTAGGCCAGTAAGCCTTACTTCAGTAGTGGGGAAAGTAATGGAAACCATGTTAAAGGATAGGATTGTTGAACATCTAAAAACACATGGGTTTCAAGATCGGAGACATCATGGGTTTACTTCAGGGAGATCATGCCAAACTAATCTTATTGATTTTTTTGATTGGGTAACTAAAATAATAGATCAGGGTGGTGCAGTAGACATTGCTTACCTAGATTTCAGTAAGGCTTTTGACACTGTTGCACATAGAAGGCTTATCAATAAACTGCAATCTTTAAGTTTGGATTCCAATATTGTTGAATGGGTAAGGCAGTGGCTGAGTGACAGGCAACAGAGGGTTGTAGTCAGTGGAGTATATTCAAAGCTTGGGCTTGTCACCAGTGGGGTACCTCAGGGATCTGTACTTGGACCCATTCTCTTTAATATTTTTATTAGTGATATTGCAGAAGGTCTTGATGGTATGGTATGTCTTTTTGCTGATGATACTAAGATATGTAACAGGGTTGATGTTCCAGGAGGGATAAGCCAAATGGCAAATGATTTAGATAAACTAGAAAAATGGTCAGAGTTGTGGCAACTGACATTTAATGTGTATAGGTGAAAGATAATGCATCTTGGATGTTAAAACCCAAGGGAGTACAGAATTTTTGATAGAGTCCTAACCTCAACATCTGAGGAAAGGGATTTAGGGGTGATTATTTCTGATGACTTAAAGGTAGACAGACAATGTAATAGAGTAGCAGGAAATGCTAGCAGAATGCTTGGTTGTGTAGGGAGAGGTATTAGCAGTAGAAAGAGGGAAGTGCTAATGCCATTATACAGAACACTGATGAGACCTCACTTGGAGTATTGTACGCAGTACTGGAGACCGTATCTTAAGAAGGATATTGATACTTTAGAGAGAGTTCAGAGAAGGGCTACTAAACTGGTTCATGGATTGCAGGATAAAACTTACCAGGAAAGGTTAAAGGATCTTAACATGTATAGCTTGGAGGAAAGACGAGACAGGGAGGATATGATAGAAATAGTGATGTCCCGAACGGTTCGCCGAACGGTTCACAAACAGTTCACCACGAATGGTTCGTCGCGGACTCATCGTTGAGTAAACTTTGACCCTGTACCTCACAGTCAGCAGACACATTCCAGCCAATCAGCAGCAGACCCTCCCTCCCAGACCCTCCCACCTCCTGGACAGCTCACTAAGAATGTAGCTTCAAAATGGATGCTGTCCAGGAGGTGGGAGGGTCTGGGAGGGAGGGTCTGCTGCTGATTGGCTGGAATATGTCTGCTGACTGTGAGGTACAGGGTCAAAGTTTACTCAATGATGAGTCCGCGGCGAACCGTTCGCGGCAAACCGTTCGCGAACCGTTCGGGACAACACTAGATAGAAACATTTAAATACATAAAGGGAATCAACACAGTAAAGGAGGAGACCATATTTAAAATAAGAAAAACTACCACAACAAGAGGACTTAGTCTTAAATTAGAGGGGCAAAGGTTTAAAAATAATATCAGGAAGTATTACTTTACTGAGAGGGTAGTGGATGCATGGAATAGTCTTCCAGCTGAAGTGGTAGAGATTAACATAGTAAAGGAGTTTGAGCATGCGTGGGATAGGCATAAGGCTATCCTAACTATAAGATAAGGCTAGGGACTTATGAAAGTATTTAGAAAATTGGGCAGACTAGATGGGCCGAATGGTTCTTATCTGCCGTCACAGTCTATGTTTCTATGTTTGTGTAAGTCAATAATTAAAACCAATGTACAAGATAAACTTGCTATTTCACTCACACATTTTGTTCATAGAGAGTTGATTTTTCCACATGAAAAAAAATACATAAAAGCAAAACGGTATAATATTGCAAACACAATTATATATAGTTAAAAAGAGGTAGATTGTCACACTCACAAACAAAGAGCAGTTAAGAGACTGCCCACGCTATTTGCGCTTT